ATGGTAGTGAATGACTGGGAAGTCTGGTAATGATTACCGGAAGCAAACTTCGCAAGGCGTTAGTACATTCCAATATGTGGTAGTAAATGACTGGCAAGTCTGGTAACGGTAACAGGAAGCAAAGATCGCCGGTCGTTAGTGTATTCCAATATGTTGCTGCAGCTCTTAGGGTCGGCATGGGTCTAAGGATTTTGAAATTGCTGTTGGAAAATGTTGATTGCGGATTGTCGCTACTACTTTTCGTCTCCTCGTGGATTTTAGATGCTCATGGTGATTTTGCATCATTACAGAGGCTAGACCAAGTCTACAAAAACAGCAATAACTAAGTCCTATAGTAGCCGTTGATGGGTACAAAATTGTAGAGTTGTACATCCCATGCAGGTTGCAATGTGCTATTGAGGTCAGAATGTGGTAGTAATGGTTTTGGACAAGTTTCAAAATACATTTACAACAATTGTTACAACTATGCCAGCCCGTAGGCTGAATGCAAGTGCGGCCATTATAACCAGTAATGTTCAGTAAATATAGCATTCTTTGTGCAAGAAACACATCTGGCTGATGATAAACTAGCTGTGCCTAACTCAACAAAAGTTTCTTCGTCGTTCAGAAGATGTGAAAATGCTTTTTAACACTTGAATGCTAGAATAACAGAGCGTCAAAGAGACGTAAAACCAGAGCTTACCTAATAGATACAAACCTTTTAACTAGACCTAACACTTTGGCCGTCCAATGAGCTTATAAGATATACCCCATTGACAATTGGATTCGGAAAGGTATAAGCATGTGATACCTGTGTCTGGGAAAGGGTTTCCAATGAATAGGGAAACACCATGCCTCCGGGAATTGACCAATCGTGACCCCCACTTCCCGGAACGGGAAGCTAAATCGTCTGATTGGAACCTCCAAGGTCAGGAAATCATTATCTAGGGCTGAGGGGGATGTAGGTCTTAATCGGATTGCCTGCTTCTTTATGTGACACGCTGGTGACTGTGGAATGACCAAAAGCCGCTACTTGCACGCAGATTCGTGTGAGTACCAGCAGTATAACGTAGATTATAGCACTAGCGCCAGCCTAATGCTGTAACATCCGTGTCCATAATATCACCAGAGTCCATAATATCGCCACCTTGAGGAATAGTGTGCTTTAAGATATTTTTACTGCAACATACTTTTGGTATGCAGCTCTGCACACCTCAAATATACCTAGGGTATGTTGCAGTAAAAATATCTTTAAACAAACTTTTTCTCAAGGTGGCGATATTATGGACCCTGGTGATATTATGGACACAGATGTTATATTTGTTTGTATACAGAAGCGATTCCTTTGTACTTAACCCAGTGGGTAGTGTTGTACATTAAAGGTCTTCATTATTATTATTATCATGACACGAAAAAGAAAGTTCAATTGGCCCTTGAAATGCAATATGACCTTTTGATCTGACTTCCGGAAAGTACAAGTCGTATCACACTATAAAGAAACTTCATCTTTCCCTTGAATGACCTTAGTCCTTGCCATCTGACTTCCAGGAAAATGATGCTGATACACCGAAGGAAATGGAAAAATTGATTGATACCAACGCAGAAACTTCACAATGTTCTTGTCCTTGGGTGAACTCTGGTAATCAGGTGCTTTCAGAGAAACTAGATTTAGAGGTCGTACCCTTGCTACAATCTTAGTGACACTTATCCTTGGCCTTGGGTGACCTTAGATCACCAGGTTATTTCCGGGCTAGGGAATTGATTTTCGAGAGCGCGCAATTTGTGCAAACGAGACCTGGAAATAACATACTTGACCTTGGAGCAATTTCTTACTGCCAGGGCTCCAACAAGACGATATTGATTTTTTTTTTCATTCCAACATTTCATGACTAGACATGTGACGGCACACTCAGGTTATGTCAACTTATTTTATGCCACCGCCAACGAGGAGGACAAATACAGGACAAGACAATGCCTATTTTAATTTGAGTGAAGTGAAAAAAGTCGTGGAAAGTGCCTTTTCCAAGGGCACAAGATAATTGATAGCATGTCACGACTCGAACTCGGGACCTCTTGGTTCCGAGTCGAGCACTCTGCCGCTACACCACATTTTAATGACATTGTATCTGTGTGTAAGTGTGGTAATAAGGTGACATTTCAGACATGTTTATTCTGTATCTGTATAGCCAGTATAACCGCCTTTCGGCGTAACACACCAGCTTCGCAGGCACGCGGCGCGGCGGTAGCTGGCTATATTACACCGATCGACTTGTTACACCTAACCCTTGAACTTCTACCTCTAGACATTGTTTAAAGCTATCTATTGACAATGCCCCTACTGTACTTGGTGACAGTGAGTTCCACTCTGCGATAGTCCTAGGAAAGAATGAATTCTTGAACACCTCAATTCTTGGTTGATAACTCTGGTACTTGAATGCATGGCTATTTCTTGTTCTCTTCTGGGCTGGTATTAGGTACTTAGTAGCCTCTTCTGGGCTGGTATTAGGTAATTCAGTCACAGGAGATGATTTCAGGTGATTGAGTATCGATTCCCTGCATGTCTAACCTTTATCCTCAACCGTTAAATTAAATACAGTCTGGAGATGATTACTTCCTTATCAAACTGTACAAAGATTGTCGACATTAATTATTTGGTTGCAGTGCTCCATTTATACTTTGTTACTTTTTGAGGTGATTCATAATGATTACTTCTTTATCAAACTGTACAACTGTCGACATTAATTATTTGGTTGCAGTGCTCTATTAATACTTTGTTACTTGTTGCGGTGATTCATAATGTTTTATTGAGGTTTATTGAGGAAAAACTCTCGTTTAGCTGCTCACCCAGGGTGGCGGCTTTTTTCCAGGAAAGAATACGTAAAAATACATCAACACACAATTACATATACATTTACATTACATGGTTATTTAAAAGAAACAAATGTGTAACATCGTATGTGCTTTAAGTATTCATTACCCTTATGTGCTTTAGTAGGCCTTGTTTGAACTTTTCATGTGATGACACTTTCAAATTGCGTGTTGGTAACATTATTGCATTATCAATTTTTTAATGTTTCTTTTAATGCCTTAAAATTTTGTAGACTGGCACATGAGTCATCGGCGTGTGTTTTAAACATTAAACACGATGGAGAAGGCCACATCCGTTTTTGAATATAACCCGTTTACCCTTTTTTATAAGCCATTAACCTTTATGACCCTTTGACCCTTTTTATGACCCTTTGACCCTTTTAAGAAGCCAACAACAACAACTCTAATATCCATTTTACCTCATCAATCTTCTAGCAGACCAGTTATCGAGTTTCTTGTTTTCTGAACCAGCTTCAAAGGATTAACTTTGCAAAGCAATTACCCCAGTTCGTCCCAATCGATTTTAAAAGTAAAGAAGCAGGTCAAACATGTCAGATTTCGATCTGTTTTTGTGTTATATAAGCTTTAAAGGAATCCAATGCAGTTTTTAAGGCTTGGAGACCCAATTTTTCAAAGTCAAAGTCATTTATTCACATACTCATTTGAAACCACACTGTCCCAATGTAAATTGACCCTCACGGAGCAAAAAAAATTCCAAAATCCTGACGGAAAATGGTTACTGGTAGGGCCCTGGGCTGTTTTTTTGGGTATCACCCATAAAATAAAGGACTCATTTTGGGGCATGTTTCTGCAGTTTTAAAATGCCCAAAGTATGAAATGCCGATTTAAATGTGCTACTATGAAGCAGCATGTGTCAATACCACGAAGATGTTAATTTTTTCTGCCCTTAAATCGCATTGAATTCCTTTAAACCATATCATGTTACAAGCTTCTAACTGTATCATGTTACAAGCTTCTAACTGTATCATGTTACAAGCTTCTAACTGTATCATGTTACAAGCTTCTAACTGTATCATGTTACAAGCTTCTAACTGTATCATATTACAAGCTTCTAACTGTATCATGTTACAAGCTTCTTACTGTAGCATGTTACAAGCTTTTACTTGTATCATGTTACAAAGCATTTCCAGCTGCGCAAAAACAACTACCAATCAAGTGTGTTTCACTAATGTATTTGACATTTCATCCTATTGGTCTTACTTTACAGGTAACTGCCGGAACGTGAGATGGAACGTCGGATGATGTAGCAACTCATTGTTTTTATCGGAACAACGAACAAGATCAAAGGCGGCATCCACCACGAACATTGCAGACTCTGATATCATAAACTGGAACGTGAGCAAGGGATCACAAGTCAGGTCGACAGAACCATTTGACACAGACTTTGACAAATATTGACTTAACTAAGACAGCGTGAAACACGATTTGAAACGCGGAACGAATAGATGTGATCAACGTATCTGAAGCATAAACGGCAAAACCAGCGACATCATCTAACACTTATTACAGATTGAAACAGGAGAAGGCAAATTGGAACAGGTACTGCAGCAACAAACCAAAAGGCAACCACCTTGCACTATAATCATAATTGTTCGTCGTTAATCGAAGAAAGCAAAAAAAAAGTCATTGGCTTCTTAAGTTATCCTAACACATACATTACAATTAAGTTCATCATCATCGGTCGGCTGCAACAAAGGTGACTGCTATGGCCCTCCATTTCCCAATTAAGTTACCCTAACACATACATTGCAATTTTAACGTATAGCCTAGAGTAATAAGGGTATATATCGGCACTGGTGCGTGGAAATCACTTAACACATGGTACACAGATGTAGAGAATAGGGCATAAAATTCCAGGCCCACGAGTAACACTGGAGGTCATTTGAATCCTCCAGAACCAATTTCGAACAAAGACAACGGTGACGGTTGACATTTCTGGAGCTGCCTGGTAAAGACGGTGCAAGTAGATGGGTAAATTAGATTCTGAAGTTACCATAAGTTTGGCATTCACAGAGATTGGACGCAAAAGTTCAGAAATAAATCTAAAAGACAAGGTCTGCGACACAGCCTTCGTGTAGCGTGTGTGGGAGAGACATCTATCGAAGTAACGTCAAAACTTTACGTGTGGACCGATGGCTTTTAACGCTACCTTCTGCGGTTGGCCAGTTATGGACAATGTCAGCACAGGCAACCCAACGCCAAACTGTACGATATCTAACACAACAGTTCAACAGTTTGACCCGTTCGAAAGCCCCAGTCTGCTGCCTTTATATGCCTTTTTCTTTATAATAACTCTAGCAGGACTGGTTGGAAACCTGCTGATAATAATAGTCATTCTGGCCCAACACAAGTCCAAAAGCGCCGCCTATATCTACATACTGAACCTGGCCATCGCGGATCTACTGATGTTGACTATGGTGCCATTTCGCGTGACAGCTTACATCGTGAACCACGCCTGGATATTCGGACACGCTATGTGCCAAGTGTACTTCCTAATAGCAGGCATGAACATGTTCAATGTCGTCTTCATACTCATGGCAATGAGTGTTGACCGCTACTTTTCCGTCTCCCAGCCGTTTCGTTCGCTGGACTGGAAGACGAGAAGAAAGGCTAAGTTTGTTTGCTTCCTTCTGTGGCTGTTTGCAGCAGTTAACGACGTACCGTACGTGGTATTTGCACAACTACAGTGGCAGGAATCCGGGTGGTACTGTAGCTACGCGTTCCCAGGGCTTGGGGACGACGAGAACTTCTGGAACCGCGTGTCAGAAATCTACGTCACGATTATTTCCTTCATCGTCCCGCTCCCCGTCATCACGGTGACGCACATCTGCATCGTGTGGCACATGCGCCGTAACCAGCCGCAGGGCAAGATCTCGCGGCGGCAGCAGGGCGAGAACGGGAATCGGCGAGAGTTGGACAAGACGGCACGCGTGGTGACGGCAGTGGTGGCGGTCTTCCTCATCTGCTGGCTGCCCAAGAACATCGTCTACTTGGCCAAAAAGTTTGTTTAGTTTGCTTGGCTGGTTTTTATTAACCTGTAAGGTGTAATAAATAATCGGTAATACTAACGGCAAGATCCCTTTGCCTACATTACAAGTTCGGGTTGTTAGAAAAAAAGTATGTACCTAATGAATATTAGATAACTTGACCTGAATCAAGTGATGAAATAGATGTAAAGTTTGTTTTTCATTGGGTCTGCCTGAAGTTCGAACCCCCCAGAAAATACTAAACAACACTAACCTCAATGTCATGACCTTGCCGCCATGACAGACGGGTTCGGGTTGTTGGAAAAATATTCCTTAAAAAAAATTTAAAGTTACCTACTCGATTCACCTAATTAATTTCACCTGAATCGAGTAAAGAAATAGGTGCCACGAGTAGTTCGAAACCCAAGTTTAAACCCAGAACACTTTTCAGTAAGAACACTAACGACAAGGTCATGACCTTGCCGCCATGACAGGTTCGGTCTGTTCGACGTCCCGAATGAGGCCCGGGTGGCGGTTGAGCTGCTGCTGATCGCGAACAGCGCCGTCAACCCCTACCTGTACACCATCTTCGGGGAACAGTTCAGGGACAGCCTCAGGGACATGTGCTGCGGGAAAAGGTACGTGAACCCTGACCTGTAGGTACGTGAACCCTGACATGTACGTGAACCCTGACCTGTACACCATCTTCGGGGAACAGTTCAGGGACAGCCTCAGGGACATGTGCTGCGGGAAAAGGTACGTGAACCCTGACCTGTACGTGAACCCTGACCTGTACGTGAACCCTGACCTGTACGTGAACCCTGACCTGTACACAATCTTCGGGGAACAGTTCAGGGACAGCCTCAGGGACATGTGCTGCGGGAAAAGGTACGTGAACCCTGACCTGTACGTGAACCCTGACCTGTACACCATCAGGGACGTATGCTGTGGGAAAAGGTACTGGCCATGCAACCATGGTAACTTAGTAAGATCATTGGCATCATACATAATATGCCGATGTCATCCTACATGCTTTTTTGCTGCGGCCAAAGGTACGGGCGGGAAAAGGGGAATTTGTCAACTAACCATAGTAAACGAGTTACATCATTGACATGCCAATCAATGCATAGGTCCCGCCTGGTCGATTCGTTCTCGGCGCAGACCCTCCAGTCAATTTTGGAGATCCTAAATTGGATTTGTTCATATTCAAAAGCCAGGAAAGTAAAGTATATTTCATCCCCCTACTAGTTTCTGAAAACTTCTCTATCACAATATCGCATCACGTCTTACCCTTTGGTTTTTACACAGGAAGCGGGTGACGCGGTCATCGCCCTTTACAGCTCGGGCAGACAACAGAGTGGAGTTATCGACGTCAGTGTAGCTGAAATAAGGATATTACAGACTCTACATCCTAATATGAACACAATCCATTCTTGCGTGTAGAGAAATCGTTTTATCGTTGTTGGTTGCAAAGAGGATAACATGAGTGTGAAAATCGCAAACTATCTAAGGTTCAAAAATTTCATAGGTAGAGTTGTCATCGTATTTGCATCCCCCTAAGTTGTTGATGACATCTATTCTTGCTAAGAAGATAATATCATCATTACTGCTGCTTGGGTGCAACTATAACAACATGAGTGTGAACATATCACTTTTACGTGGATGCTTTAGTACAACTGCACAAGTATTATGACCAGTGTAGCTGAAATAAGGATCTTACAGACTCTACATCCTAACAGAAATACTACTCATTCTTGCGTGTAGACAAATCATTTCATCGTTGCTTGTCGATTGCAAAGAGAATTACATGAGTGTGAAAATATAAGCAGTTTTACGCTTTCTACGTAAATTCTTTACATCCTACTTTGTCGATATCTATTCGAGTTAAGAAGATAATGTCATGAATACTGTTACTTGGGTGCAATTACAATAACATGAGTGTGAACATATCGCTTTTACATGTTAGTGGAATTGTTATCGTCTTTACATTCTAATTTGTTGACGATATCTATTCTTGTTAAGAAGGTAATGTCATCATTACTGCTGCTTGGTTGCAAATATAATAACATGAGTGTAAAGATGTGAAAATGATACGTTTACAAGGCGTACGTGGATAGCATAGTACTTAGCAATATCGTTGCCTGTGTAGCCGGACCGATGATCTTTAAGACTTACCCCAATTTGTTGACGACTCATTCTTGCTAAGAGGATCGTCTAATCATTCATGCCGCTTGGTTGAAAATAGCTTTATCTTTATTACTTTAATTAGTACTTCAACAAGCCAGTGGTTTAAAAGTAGGTCAATTTGAGCTCCACAGACCCGTGCATTGAGTATGATGAGCTCCTCTCATGGTTCACTAATGACAACCATTGATGTTTCCTGATTACCCTGTTTATTTGGGTCAGGAACAGATAAGGCTTAATCTGAACCAGGTCTAGTGGGACGCTGTTCTTCAAAAGAGTCGTTTAACCAGTAATTATTCACATTGCTGAAGTCGGCATATTAGTTGTAACGTTTTCTTCTGTGACCTACTCAACTCGCTAAAAGGAAAACCAAACGTATCGTTGAAGAGGTTCATCAGTCACGTAGGGTTAACAGTTTGATGTCTACTGTACACCTTAATCACGGAGTGACCTAGTCTCGTGAGAACACGAGACTAGGTTGGGATCTGCCCAAGTCTACTCCGCAAGGAGACAGGGGAGGCCAGAAGACCTGCTTGGCGAATTTCTACTAATAGTTAAAACCAAACGGCTTGTGTTGATTGGGAAAAGTCCAGGGGCCTTCCTTTAGAAGACATTGTTGGACACGAAGGTAATGGATATCGATCAAAAGTCGCTGTTCAGTAATCTACACCAATTCTAGTGGGACATTGTTCCTCAAAAGACCGCCACTGCGCCAGTGATTATTCTGAAGTCGGCACATTAGTTTGTAAAGTTTGATCATGTGATCTAAAAGGAAAGCCAAACGTCAAGTGTTGTTTGGGAAAGTCCAGAAGCCCTTCCTTTAGAAGACATTGCTGGACACGAAGGTAATAGATATCGATCAAAAGTCCCGTTTCAGTAGATGAATGAAGCAGTGTTAATCCCACGTATCAGCGAAAGACATGCTGTGGATCGTGCTAACAAGCATTACCCTATCACCACCTGGTCTTGCACAGACTATTAGATGGCAATGATACTTATTATATATTCTAGGCAAACCTTCCATGGAGAAACGTATCTGTACCTTTATCTCTATTATAACTGAAAAGCGACGAGAAGTTGGATTTATCTAATAGCTAGTTTTATTTTGTATACATCAGTTCATCATGCTTTGTCGTGACCTGTACTTAGCCAAGTGTGGTAAAAATGTGCAATAAAGGTCGTCATTAATTTGAAATTGCAATAAATATAAAACAGTGGCTACCCAGGCAGCAATGCCCAAGTAGATGTCGTGTATCACGTTTATACAGACGTACAAAATACTGATATTGTATTGAACCAGAGCAAAGGCCTTACCGTTACTTGTATATTTCTGCGAACGTTTTTCTTTAAAGGAGCTTACATGTCTATGGAAAGTATATTGAAGGCCGCTGAAAACAGGCTTCATCTATTTATTATTTGAAGGAGCTTGAAGTCCTTGCTTGCTAGCTTTGGCGCAGCCTTTCGACTTTTTGTTAAACTGCAGGGACACACAGCCCATGATGGTACATAAAGGACAAATTTTATAGGAAGACCCCCAATTCATGCAATAGTCTTTATTCGAGACCCGATCCTTAATACCAGCAGTTTAATTTTTAAACTACAGACCATTTCTATTCCTAAATGTACGACTTACGGCACGATCGCCAGGTGCATCGTACATTGAATGTGGTCAGAGTTTAAGGAGGCTAAAGTTGACCTTTAGACCCAACATTCCCTCACCTTTCTCGTGGTATTATTTGCCTGTATGATTTCTAAATAATCACATGTCACCGAGTAAACATTCCGTGACATGCGGTGTTGAGCCAAATCCTTGAGCTGCCACATACGTGAGAGGTCAGGTGTTTAGTGCTTGCGCTAGGGTTAGTATTAGAGTTAGGGTTTGGTTAGGTTAAGTCGTGATGTGAGAGACTAAACCTAACCTAACCCCAATCGTAAGTCTAACCCTGACCCCAACTCTAACCCTAACTCATACTAACCTTAGCCCAAACCCTAGACACCTGGCATCTCACGTATGTCGCAGCTCAAGGATTTGGCTCAACACCGGGGCCAGTCACCAGCGTACTCCGAACTTTGAACCCATCGTTACACATGCCCCGGCGTGTGTCACGGCACGGAACAATGTTGTACAGTAACAACTCGTGTGTGTCACCACCACCACACGTGACGATTCGGGGAGACCCGGGTCCAGGCACTGATTAACAGGTGACTGGGAACCGAATAAGCATGATAAACATGCCTTTTGAGGGTACCTGTAGCAGAGGCAGGTAACTACGGACTGTATTGACAGGTGAGACTAAAAGTCTGTATGGAAAGGTGTATTTTGGGGGGATGTCTGTGTGTGTGTGTGTGTGTGCATGCATGTGTGTACGTGTGTCGGTATCTCTGTGTGTGTAGGTGTGCGAATATATATTGCAATGTCTGATATGTATGTTTCTGTGTATGTATGTGTGTGTCACAAGTAACTGTGTTCTGTAACAACAACTCGTGTGTGTCACCACCACCACACGTGACGTTTCGGGGGACCCGGGTCCAGGCACTGACTTAAAATGATTAACAGGTGACTGGGAACCGACTAAACATGACTTTTGAGGGGACCCGGGGCTGTAATAGGTAACACCGGAGCTGACTGGGGCACCTGACAGGTACGGCTACTAGTATCTATCTAAGGCAACAATTTTCTCTATAGTTTCTCCAGTGTAGTGTGTCTGTGGGTTGTGTGTGTGTGTGTGTGTTTGTTACGTGTGTGTTAGTGAGTGTGTCGGTATCACTATGTGTCCGTACTTATCTGTGTCTATACCTCTGTGTGTGCGCGAATATATATTGCAATGTCTTTATATGCGTGTGTATGTATGTGTGTGTGTGCGATTATATAGACTATTAATTTGTTATCACAATTAGAATATGTCTTACGTCTTACATGAACTGAGATTCTCCATTATTCCATACCTTTTCTAATTGACAGTGAAAACACACAAAAAAAAGATGGTACAAGAGACCGATGTTGCCATTGAGGCCAAAACCATCGGACGTCACTGCTCTTCCGGGGACACCTCTCCCCTTCTGGAACAGCCGGATAGAACATCGGCTGTTCCTTCTGATGGCGTCCTCCCTCCCATGACAGGGTTCCAGAAGAAGGTTCTTGTCTGCCTGAGCTATGCCTACTGCATGGGCTACGCCAGGTCTGCTATTATGGCGCCTTTCTTCCCAAGTCAGGTGAGAAAAATACTAATAGCCACACCCCTCTCTTCCTACACACACACACACACACACACACACACACACACACACACACAAACAAACACACACATACACACACACACACGAAGACACACACACACATACAGACAAAACACAGACACATACATACAAACATACACACACCTGCACTCGTACAAACAGCAGAAACACACATATGCAACTTTTGTCCAACCCTAGTATTTTAATGTCAGACCTCCTGAAATACAGGATTTTCCCCTTTTTTCCTGATAAAACAAAAAAAAAATGAGAAAAAAGTTTTTATTCACCTAAAACCACCCTCTCCCCAGGCTGCCGAGCGAGGTGCATCGGAGACGATTGTTGGCTTCATCTTCGGCTACTACTCCCTCATCGCCTTCCTGTCGGCTCCCATCATAGGGAAACTGGTACGATAATTATATGCCTTCAACTTTAGGAAAATGCTCTCCCAAGGCTATATTATTGGCAGTCCAGCCTAGGAAAATTATATCCACCTAGAGTGTGTTACAAATATGATGATAAATTTCATATAATTTCACAAATATGACGATCCATTAGCAAATCGGATAACATACACTTGAGTGTAAAACTATCCTCTTCTTAAGACTAATCAGATTTTACACATAGTTTGGATTATAACCTTTAGACCTTGCTGACACAGGTGACCTTCCAAGGCCTGCGTTCTATATCATCAATTGATACTTTGCCCAGTGTGATTATGTATTGTGTGATCTTTGCTCTCAGTAAACATTACTATTTTGCACGCGTAAACAACACGGGGTCTACGCAAAATATGCTGAATGGTAGAACTAACGATATATGTGTATTTTACATAGTTTATTTAGATCCAATTATTATAAAGAACGAATGTAAAGATAGTTGAAAATTCTCTCATGTTGAGCTTTACTCTTCTGTTCTTATCTAATTTCTAAATGTTTGAGTATGTGATACCACAATGTTTAGAAAAGGGGGCCGGTTTGACATTTTTAGGGATGCGATGCAGTTATAAATTTGATCATTGTACCGATCTACATACAGGACACACAGCAGAACTAGACAACATTGAAGGATAGGCACGATTGTTTAGGGATTATTCGGTACTTACGTATACATCTCTTTGCACCCCAGATCTCTCACACGGGTCCCAGGTTCATGTTCCTATGTGGTTCTCTGGTCGGGATGTGCGTCTGGGTCCTCACTGGGTGAGTTCTGCTTCAGTTAAAGCCTCGATATGTTTTCTGTAGGTGCTACTAGTATATTATTACGATACGATGAAAGAGAGAGCGAGAAGAGGGAGAGAGAGAAACACACTAAACGCCAAAGTATTTATTATGTTGTCGAAAAAAAAACAATGTTGGCCTTCTTCTTCTTCTCCAAACAGCATAATGTTTGGAGAAGACCTGAACCAATGTCGTGTCTGTTATAATGGTAACGAGTCTTGAGTTACATCATATTGCAATTTTATAGCAGGGGGGATTTCAACTCAACTGACTCTATATATGAATGTGTTTGAGTAAGAATTAACAGAGCAGGCCATATGCGAAGGTAAACATTATGCAGTTAGTTGCCTTGCAAATGTCACCTTTCTAGTTCTAACTATGTTCGTGCCCTTCCCAGAGTGAGTGGCTACACGTCCGGCGGGCCGTTTATCGGTCTGTGCTTCGCGGTTTTCACGGTAGAGGGCTTCTGCTACTCCGCCTTCGAGATCTCCCTCATGGCGACAGTCGCACGGGTCTATCCGGGAAGGGTCTCAACCGTCATGGTGAGTTAAGTCACTTCAAGAACAAAATATTCATTATTCAATTTCCTTGTAAATTATCAACAGGAAGTCTGGCTGTATAAATACATGTAACCTGTCCAAATGCCTCTCGGATTGGAAACTGTGTATTGCTACTAGTCCTGCATTTATTCCTGATAAAAGATGGTATATATTTACCGTCAATGTTGTGAGCTGGTAACTGTGATATTTATAATAAGCGTAAGTTTTGAATTAGCATTGGTCATGAATATTTACGGCCTTTTCTCCTTTTAATAAAAGAAAAAAAAAGAAAGAAAATTATTCTCCACACTGGGAAAAGTCCAGCTGTTTTCAAAACTTCAGGACTGGTATAAAGATTAATACAAAGTGGCGCATAGTAAAATACACTGTACGTTTTGTGCATTTCAGGGCACGATGGAGATATTCATTGGTGTGGGAACCATGCTGGCTTCACCTGCAGGCGGAGCGCTGTTTGAGGTACTGGGTTAGACATGCTAGTAAAATACATATTAATTGCTATCACATATATAACTGTACACCATGCAGTTAAAAGTTTGATTAAGTGTAATTGGAATAAAGAGGATTGACCTAAATGTGTCACCTCCTGTCTGCAAACTTTATTAATCGCATTTGTCAACAATGCTAAAAATTCTACAAAACGCAGTATCAAAACTGCCACCCGCCCGGAGGCCTGCACAGAAGGCTAAGCCAAGCTATAACGACGTGTTTAGCATTATTACAAAACTTAATTGGCACAACAAAAGTACAGCGACTATCGTAATGTCTTAACTACGTGTAGGCATACAGAAAAAATACATAGGTACAACGAAATTAACCTACATACAAGACAATAGATGAATCAACTTATACTACTTGTTCTAAGGTCATTCACTGTGTCCATTTTCTGTTCCAGTGGGGAGGTTACCTGGTGCCGTTCGTAGTAGCCGGGTTGCTTCTGGGATCCTGCGCCTTTGTCGTCTGTATCATTCCAACAAATGCTGGTAAACACACTACAAACTTCATCTGGGTTGGCTCGATTAAAGGGGGAAATCTTTTTCTAAAGTTCTATAATGTACTAGTACAATCTCATAATGATGGCCATCTAGAATACATATTTTTTCTCAAAGAAGAGAAAATAACCAATGACTTCAGTTTTAAATCCCACCGAATGACTGAACAAATCACTAAACACTGGTGAGCGATAAGCAGAACTTTTCCCGATAGAACAAGGCGATCTCAACACATACCTTTGTGCAGCATATCGGGTTACAGGTTTTCCCGCGCGCGGGAATCTGGGAACTATAACCAATCAGAATGCAGGTTTGGGATGATTGACAGATTGGTTCCCGCCAAACGAATGACGCTTCGTCCCTGAATGCACTGTCGTGAATGAACCAATCAGCACACTTGTTATGGATGATTGACAGGGGATTTCCCGCCATACAATGAGGCAGACGACGTCCGTGAATACTAGAATGCTAGTGAAGGGAGGAATGCTTTCTAAACACATTTACAACGGTTGTGATCTAAATTAGTTGAATATACATTTGGAATTTGTTTACTTGTCGTTAACGTTATATATAAAAGTACCTAATATAGAGTGAATAAATAAAAGGATTCCAATTATTAAACATTCAGATAATTTTTGTTCTTGTACTAAACTGATATTAAAACAGCAATGCATGAATTTACTTAACGAGTATTTTGTGTATCACCCACAAATACTTTATTTCCATATTCAGTAAAAGACGACGTGAAGTCTGGTTCACTGACGCGGCTGGCTACCATTCCGGATATACTGGTTGTAGGTTAGTATTTTTTTTATTTTTAAATCATTTGTAGATTGTAGGTTAGTATATATTTCTGATCCCCCGCCTTCTTGTGTTATCGTTGAGTTGATTGTAAACATTAAAATTTGTCAAATTCTCAATATATTCCAGCTGCCATTTCCTGTGAATAAGATACTATTATGCTGCACTGTTTGTTAATGTATATATGTATGACCCCGTCTAATCACATGGCATGCAAATATAGATCTCCAGTTCATAAGAAATTATAGCAAAGGAGTTTACGGTATCAATATTTCATTTCTAGCTGGCGTCATATTTTCTGTCTACCTCATCTATGCATTCCTGGACCCCACACTGGAGCCCCACCTAACGGGAAAGGTTGGTATTGCAGGCATCAGTCATATTTTTTATGAAAAAAACTAGCAACATGTGTGAGTGAAAAAAAGGATCCCTTTCTTGTAATGTATCATATTTTACCTCCATTAGGCACATAACGATCTTGTGTGTTTTCTGTTGAACGTGATGTACACATATCACTACATTGTATTATGCCCTTTTTTTTCATCCCTGCATGTGCAGTTCAAGATCTCACAGACAGAGGTCGGAGTGGTCTTCATGGTAGGAAACGGTGCGCATGCGCTGGCATCACCCTTTTGGGGATGGCTAGCAGATAAATATGTGGTAAGTGCCCCATGTTTTTATTTTGTGATTTAGTAAAAACGTTTCCAGCAAAGCGTATTATGAAATAAACGTTGATTTTACATAAAAAAAATGTAATTCAAAGTCTCAAAATCCTGTCCTAATTTTAGACCTTAGACCTTAACATGTGGCAGTAGGATCAACGTTTCCTTGATATACGGCGATGTCGTCGGGGATAAAATATGGTCAAACAAGTATCGTACGATATATGTGGCCAGATTACTATTTACTCTTTTCAGAAATGGACTAAAGTGCAAATGACAGTCGGTGTTCTGGTGTCAGCTCTCGCCTTCACGTTTCTCGGCCCGGCTCCCTTCTATGGTACCACAGGGTGAGTTTGTTTCTAGGTTTTGAGTTTGTGTCTGTGTCTTTCTAAGAGTTTTCTGATTTATTTCTGAACGATGTGCACGAAATAATGAATTGCTAACTTGAGTCACTTAGTCCATGTCATTTTATTTGTATTCATCACTGTGATTCTGAATGAAAAAAATAACAATAATAGATGACCAGAAAATTGAGGTCGTGTTGCTCGCTTGCTTATGGGAGGCATCAGCTGATAAGGACAACCATAGCTGAATAAAAAAAAATATCATTATTTATCGGCCTGGATCAGCTGGGCCAAGCCAGCACTTATTTGACTTCTACGTAGCATTTAATAAGCTACGGGACCGATGGACGGATGGATGGATGGATGGATGGATCTTGAGAAAGAAACCTCTAGCCTATACGGTACTATTTTTCTGTCAAAGTTGTTGGTCAAGACGCATAGATTTTGACTTCTTTTATCTCTCCCTCAGGATGATCTGGGAGATTTACGTTGCTCAGGTTGTTTTTGGAATCGCCAAGTCCGCCGCCATCGTGCCGACGTATGCAGAACTGCTGCTAGCCGCTAGGTGCGCTCATAGTACCATGGTCTTTTGGTTTGATTTTTAACAAAATTTTTTCGATAACCAAATGTACCTACATAAAATGTTATATTTTTAGGTTTAATCAGTTTGAAAAAAAAGGGGGATTAATATGAGTATACACATATCAAAACTGTCGTAAGCTCTGCCAATTGGCAAATGATCTTTATTGAAACTAGAGTTAAGTTAACTCTTAATTTTATTTCTACCAAATTGAGTATATACAATTGTCTATATGTCAATTTATTTTGCTGTAATGAAACCGTTTACTATGTTGTTGCAATTTATTTTTAATTTTTTTTTTTTAATTAAACAATTTTTGTTTGTTACGTCAGAGCGGCTGGGATGCCAGAAGACCTCGGAACGTATGGCGTCATCTCCGGTGTATATGACCTCATGATGAATCTTGGGTAACTATCTATAATGGTTTATTACACGAACGTTTATTTTTTGTATATTTTTAACATAGCTTAGACTTATATTGCTATTTTTTAAAAGTAGATCCATGTTTGTAATCGCCAAAGGGCTAAGTGTTTTTGTGCGTCCATTTGAGGCTGCTAGTTTTGTAAATGGTTGCTAGAATTTATGGATCTATATATGGAGAGACTGGTTCGCATGTTAGGCGCGACGCACACCGTGCAAGAGGACTGGGTGAGTGAGTGAGTGAGTGAGTGAGTGAGTGAGTGAGTGAGTGAGTGAGTGACTGCGTTAGTGTGTGAGAGAGTGACTGAGTGTGTGAGTGAGTGAGGAGTGCGTGCCTGAGTCGGTGAGTGTGTGTGAGTGTGTGAGAGTGACTGGGTGAGTGTGTGAGTGAGTGAGTGAGTAAGTGAGTGAGTGTGAGTGTGTGTGAGTGTGTGAGAGTGACTGGGTGAGTGTGTGAGTGAGAGTGAGTGACTGAGTGTGTGAGTGAGTGTGAGTGAGTGAGTGTGTGAGTGAGTGAGAGTGAGTGGGTGAGAGTGAGTGAGTGGTTAGAATAGTGATTGATAGGATGTTAATTAGCCTTTTACGTTTTTAGATACCTTATAGGCTCTACAGTCGGCGGCGTGCTCATGGATAAAATTGGGTTCCCCTGGGCCTCTACAAGTATGTCAGGAGTGTGTTTACTACAGGTATTATACTATATTATTGCCTACTAGTAGCCTATTATGTGACATATGATTGTTCATTAATGCTGTTAGTTTTCTTGGTACCCTTTATTGTGTTACTATGGCTTTGTTTAGAAATTTTCAAAATCCGTTTGTATTTTTTACAGGGGTGCATCATGGTGGTATTTTATGTCGTGAATATGCGAAGGAAAAAGTTAAGGTAAATATGAATATGTCGAATTATTTCTGCTCATTAAATCATATCAACTTTTCTTATACACTGGCTGCAGGAAATGATATTTCAGTCAAATATTCTTATTTATTGCTTAAGTATGATTCCAATGTTTTGTTTTCTTTCTTTTTCTATCATTAGCTTAAGCAGAAGTGAAGAAGCCAAAGAAGTCGAAGAAGAAATCACGCGTAAGCCTATATCTAACGACAAGACTTACGGGGCTCTCTTATAACATCTTGATTTTAGGACATGATATTATCCATACTATCAAATGGAATTTATTACAAAACCCCATTATTATGTAACTTATGTCAACTCGCAAGAAAATCTTAAGTCATTTCGCTTAGAATAATTACTCAAAGACATCGATGAAGTATTACTCAAAGACATCGACTCTTTCCTTTTTATACTTTTCTTGCAACATGTATCGTTTTAAACTATTTGTACTAGTAATGCAATGCTGCTTCGCTACGGCTTGACTCAGCTCTCAAGTTTGATTTTCGTTGTGTTTGTTACCATGTCTCAATTTTTGTTTGTCTGCTCTTGTATGTAATGTGGGCCAGGGGGCCTGAATTGAAGAATAAATATAATACATTTCAACAACATTCAATTATTTTCTCTTCCTTCTTACTCTTCACTCAAAGTGCAATGGTTTTTCAAGAACCGACACAAAAATGCAGCTTCGCTACGGCTCCATTTGATAACAAAGACACTGCCTTAGCTTAAGGCATACATTTTTTTTCTCACAAGTGTGTTGGGTTATTTTACATGCAGATGTTTGAAGTCTGAGGCACAAGCATGAAGCTCACTCACACACTGGGATGCTGACTTTACCTCACTAACCGATCAGGAGTGCAATCCCTCACTGTCGAGTCCAAACGGGTGTTAAACCTTTACACACTGGATCTATAGATTTGAATCCAGATTACAAAATAGTGCAGTTGCCTACAACATTTACTACAATAACGTGAAAAAACAGTTAACAAGGGCAAGTTCAACATAGAAACAACCTAACTTAAACTTCTGCAAAAAAAAAGTGTGACTGGTAATCCAAATGCATAGCTATTTCATGATGTATCTTGCAACATGCATTGACTACAATGCACCATAGAATAAGTTCCAGACCAGCAATGTCAACATTTGTTACTCAATAAACTTAAAGGTATATATCCTTTGAATTTCATAGGTTTCTGTCGTGATATTCTTGAACAATGCGGGGGCAATAAAAACGGAACAAATGAAAGAATCGCAGAGCGTAGGAAGAACCGAAGGGCAAAAACCAATATCAGGAGCAATTTTGCTCCATCCGCCCTTTCGCCTGGCCTCTATTGCGAGTCTCAGTTGATTTCGTTAGCCGAGTTAAAAGGGCAAAACATCCCAATCTCTGTTCCACAGTGGAATGGAGAGTCTCCTTGTGGGCGAAAGCTTAAATCAATAACAAAGTTTTCTGTGCAACCACGCGAAACGTCGCCAGTCAGTCTCTAGAAGTCTTCGATGTCTGGCAAAGATTCCAAATATACCCTTCCCAAGATAACACTTGAAATGCTATTTTGAGTTGCATGGAACAGATATCAACATTCTTCACAGGATAATTGGTTGCTTCAAAGATCTGGGTAGCAACTACAATCGAAACCCAGTGGATTTTAACGTTTTTTGTAGCACATCATCATTGAAGATAGAATGTTAACCTGCATGTCTTGCCGAGATTCCAAAACATGGGCCAAATATATGGGCCATTTCCTAGATACCATTAAAAATACTATTTTGAGTAACAAACTAAAGAGATATCAACATTCTTCATACTAGGATAATTGGTTGCTTCAAAAATCTGGGAAGCAATTAAAATTTTAACCCAGAGGATTTTAACGTTATTTGTAGCTCGACGTTATTGAAGATCTGAATGTTAACCTGAATGTTGCCATAGTTATGACATGATAATTGATAATATTTGTTTCAAATCCACCGGCAGACATTCTTGTCTGCAAATGAAAAAAAGGGCAAGGTAACAGCGTAAAACTAGGCTAGACAATCACGACAGAGAAAAACATCCAGGCCATGCATGCCATCAGTTACATTAGTTACAAAACAAATGTCAACACACATTTAATATTTTTTTTATTTAATATCCTCTTCATCCAGGGATCAACTATGTACTAATGCGTTTTCATACTCTGCTTACATATTAGATTAAAATTGGATATCATGAACAATTGGAGATAGTTAACTGAAGGAGTGTGTGTATAAGACTAGATAGCTGTGAGAACCAATAGACATTCAGTGCGTCAAACAAATACCCTCCCATAGATCATCAGGTAGTACACAAAACTGTCAGTCTTGTATTTTAGTGTCACTTTTAGGCCACACAAATATGGCAAAGGCGGTCCTCATCATTAGTGAAAACCAATAAACATTCAATACGTCAAAAAACAGCCTCCCGTAGATCATTAAGTAGTACACAAAACTGTCAATCTGCGGAAATGACCCGTCGGTGTAAAGAGTGTAGACTGTTCGCCAGTACACGGGAATTATCGCCACTCGGCACAGGAAGAACACAGCTATCATCATCAGTCCGTTTACTACGTACAGTCTGGTCTTCTTCAGCCCCAGTGCGCTTAATATAGCTCTGCAGACAACGGAACGAAAAGATAGTAAATGAAAAAAAAAAACTACCTTGTTGTGTAACATTGTAAAACATTTTAAATTCATTTATATATTCTGGAGTTATTGCTTCATTTTTTTAATTATGTTTGTACTTATAAACCTCTGTTAACTTATCGTTTTAACATATCGTTTCAAACGCTACCAGTACCTAAAATTCACGAAAGGACTTGACGCTTCGTAGTACAGAAATGTTGACATGATCCACGGGACTGAGGTGTGAATCTGGAGAACAGGAATTCAGGAACAGTTATCACGGATCACAATCAACAGCTGATACTAGTCATCTACGAATACATTTTATACTTATGTATTTAACTTAACCCCATATACATTTCTCGAATCATGTACAACAGATTTCAAGAGTCTCGATGTTGGAGACAGATTCGAATATATATTTATACGTAAAGGTCCCCACAACGCAAAATAGGTAAATGTATAAAAGAATGCTTTGCTATTAGAAAAATACCAAAACTTGTGATTAGCCTATTCGATTGTAACACTTTTTAAAAGACCTATGCTATCCCTTATTGTTTGAGTAATTAAGATATGTTAGGTTTTATTCGACATTAGGTCTTATTCAGCACATTTATTTTATTGTTTTTACTTTCTTTATGTAGTTTGCCATACATTGTACCATGTACAATTTTCATGCAATAAAGTTCTTCTCTGTATAGAGGTCGGATCTGGAGAAAGTGAGAGAGAAAGAGAGAGGAAGGAGGGTATGCAAATAATTCCATCTAATTGTCTATCTACTCAAAATCTTTTCAATAATTTTCTGTCATCTGTTGCGTACCGTTCCTGCGAGTCCGCAAAGCGTCCCAACCACGTGATGGATCAGAAACACGTTCGTGTCGTGTAGTCGGTACCGCAACATCAGAAACGCGTCTGCAGAATAAGATGTTAAGATATACAATTTCAAGTTGTTGACGTGTTGATATCCGATTTTAAAGATTAGAGGTACCTGTATATTATACTTTAAAGAATTCATTGTAGAACACATTTTGCACCGTACACCTAAAGTTTATCAAGGGTACCCAGAAATCTTACATGATTCTTACATGAATCTTACAAGGAAAATCTAACTTTTCCTTGGAAATTACTTTAAGTGCTGTTTTGTTTAATTACAGTGAAAACATTTAGAAATAATCTTTGAATCTTAACCACCAAATACCGACGTATTATACATTGATGATCTGTGCTAATATTTAGCATCTTTATTTCAAGTTATCTATCCCCATTACGATAATACTTGAACAATTAAACAGTAATTGGTATCCCACCTGCAATAGTGTAGCCCAGGTAACCGGCTACTCCATGCCTCAGTAGTAAGCAGTTGTACCTAGTATTTAGAACGGTGGTGCGTTTAGTGATTGGAAATATACATAAAACGACTGAGATAAAAATTCATCGTTATCTAGTAGGATAATATAATGTAGTTATGTTAGGATATGTTATTTTACGTTACGTTATATTCTTGAAAAGAATAACAACGTACCTGACACGTCTTGGGTAAACTTCTGGTTCAAAGAAGAGCACATAAACCCCGATTGACCCCAGCACTAAGTTGACGATGGCTGATTTGAATCTGAGTATGTATAAGAAAATGTATGAAAATAGTTCATATGAATATGCATGTACCTAACTACCTCCCTAGCCCTGTAATATACTTATTGTCTCCCACCATGACAATCGTAAACACAAAGGGACTGTATCGTGCACAGAACTTGCTATACGGCCCCTACAACTCACCCAACAAAATGACTGGACACCTAAGTCTGGGATAAACTTTCAAGATTTTTAATGTTGAACAAGCAAATCTTAACATTTTATTGTATTGTAACGATCATAAGTGTAAATGTATAATCTTTTTTAGACTGACACCTTTGGAAATGGCCTCACAATCCAGCCTCCACGGCTGCCAGGAGGCATGTATATCTTTTGCTAAGATCTAATAAACCAGCCTACCACTACTACTAATACAAACGTAGCGTAAGACTCATGGCTCACTCTTGGTTAGTTTGCGCCCGTTTCTGTGGTCCCAGTAGGCTGTACTGTTTTGACAGACGGCCCAGAATTTTTGGCGCCGCGGCGAAAAGGCCCATCGACACGACAAAACTGGCTAACACGGCCAGACATATGGACACAGTCTCGTCCATTGTTCTTCCTATATGGGTCAAAAAACGACGAACCAAAATAAGACATTAACGTTACAGGGTCATTTTGTATGCTTTGTAAGTTTCATAGACGATGTGTCCTGTCTCGAAAACCAGTTTACGTAGTCTTGGTAACTGCTGTAATGTTTTGTCTGATATGAATGGCCGAAACACTTCCAGTGACACGTTGCATACATTTTGCATGTCTACCAACCACAGGACATACTGTTCGGTAACATTATACATTTAGCATACTAAAAAGAAAAATTTCAAGTGACTATAACCTAGGCAAAAGAGTTTAAATATGCTAAGAGCAAAAAAAATGCCTACCTTTTGCTGCAGCCGAGGTAACAAAATGGTGAGTCTTGTGTGACCCGTTCGACAACTTTTTCTCGAGGTCAGGCTACTTTTCTTCAACTGGGTCAATTAAGCCCCTCTAGCCGAGTAGCCTGACCCTAGCCTCTTCGAGGCTTCGGGAGGCGGCTGGAAAGAGTATAAATTGGACGAATGGAGAGAAAGAACATGCCAGGGGAGTTTGGTCTGCTGGATAGAACAGTTTGCCGCTACCGAGAGCTCCCCTGGCATGTCATCTCTCTATTTTGCCGATTTTTTACTCTTTTCAGCCGCCTCCAGAAGCCTGGTAGAGGCTAGGGTCAGGCTACTTATCTGTAACTGGGACAATTAAGCCCCTCTAGCCGTTCCACTCGGCTGACTCGGCTGGCTTTTAAATAAGAGCCCAGTGTGGGTACGTTAAGCTTAGACTATCAGTCTGATCTAACCTGACGCAGCTTGTACTAATTGTGTGGTATGCCCTCGGGGTTAAAACCGTCAACAGGCAGTCTCTAACTGACTCTAACATGCAGCATTGTAAAATAGTAGAAACTGGCCAGATAGACAGAGACTTTAGTCTGCTGTATGATTACAAATTAAAACCTACAAAAATGAATTCTAATTCAATAGCGATCTCATAGATTATTTCGTCCATTTGACCAATGCCTACTATTTTTACAACAATGCGTTGAAGACAAGTGACGCTTAAGACAAAAACAATGCGATTGCCTGAGTGTTTGGGCCACTGCTACATTAAAAGTCCTCATGGGGACAAAGTACATTTACCCAGTTGGCCAACAATAACATAGTCATGCGATTGACCCCCCCCCCCTCCCTGAAATAAAAGCTGTGCAGATCGCAGTAACGTTATGATTCTGGTACAATTTTGATAAACATCTAACTAACCAAAGTAACACGTTGGCTATACAATAACCACCAAGAGAAACAACACTGTCCTTCATGGTTGTATTTATTGTGCTAAAAGGGATGGATACAGAAATAGATGGTTTCTATCTTAGTCTTGTATTTTAGCGTCAAGTTTAGGCCACACAAATATGGCAAAGGCTGCCCTCATCATTAGTGAGAACCAATAAACATTCAGTACATCAAAAAACAGCCTCCCGTAGATCATTAGATAGTACACAAAAGTGTCTATCTGTGGGAAAGAACCGTCGATGTAGAGCAAGTAGACGGTTCGCCAGTATACAGGAATGATGGCAACTCGGCACAGGAAAAACACTGCTATCATCATCAGGCCGTTTACTATGTAAAGTCTGGTCTTCTTCATCCCAAGTGCGCTTAATATAGCTCTGTAGGGAAAGAACGAGAAGGTATTTGTTTATTAATAATGAAAGGGATTCTTGTTGAGTGACATTTTAAAACCCAATAGCAACTTGTTTGCGTTAACTCAATAATTTAACTTTTTAACCGTCGTTTTGGTCTACGTCAGTCATTGTTGTAATTTTCAAACATTACCGAAAGGAACATAGAAATAGACATTTTTCCCCGGATTCAGTAGATCTATTCAGAGAAAAGTTACTACCTACTTGAAACAATAATTATATGTGTTGGTCTTGGTCAGTTATAATTGTGATGTTCTAAACATTACAGAAAAAAAAACATAGACACAACAAAATAAAATGATAGAATTCTATTTCCTAGCTGGTATAATCAATGACTATGTGTAGATAAGGTTGCAGTACCTGAAATGTACGAATGGGTTGGACGCTTCGTAGTACAGAAATGTTGACATGATCCACGGAACTGAGGTGTAAATCTGGAGAACAGGGATTAGATAGTACGGCTTGAGAGCAATAATCATCATAAGTGATACCTCTCTAAAATTATATAAGAGAGAGAGAAAAAAGATAAAGAGTTAACATTTCCTAATCATCCATCTATTAATCTATCTACATTCTATATAATATATTTACAGAATTCTTGGTTTGTAAGTTTAATATAGAGAGAGAAAGGGAGAGAGGGGGGAGGGAGAGAGAATATGGACATATGGTTGTATAGTTATGCTTTCATGCTGTCTACAAGTTTGGGCGAATGTACAACTTACAAAACTACAAATCACCATTAATAATACTAGTAGTACTACCGTTCCAGCCAGCCCACAGAGCGTCCCCACAACGTGATGGATCAGGAACACGTTGGTGTCGTGTAGTCTGTACCGCACTAGTAGAAACGCGTCTGGAAATTAGACGTAGTGTTTAATGCTAATAACCGATATACCTGTACATTAAATTTTATAGAATTCGTGCAGAGTACTTACGTTGTAAAAGATCCGGAAATTGGCACAATTTTTTGATAAAACCCTCCTGAACAAGGACTTGAGTGCTATTTTGTTTGATTAATGTGAAAGATAAGGTTTGGAAATAATCTTTCAACTTTAACCGCAAGTTACCTTCAAATCATACTCTAATGACCCGTGCTTGAATTTAGTATCTTTTATATATCCATTTAAATGCTTAAAGAAACATTATGAAAAGTATCCTACCTGCAATTGTGTAACCCAGGTAGCCGGCTACTCCATGTCGCAGTAGTAAGCAGTTGTACCTAGTATGTAGTTGTAGCAGTGGTTTGTTTAGTGATTAGAAAGCCAACATTAATTAGAAAAAATACTGAGTTCAAAACTTGTCACTGAGCCAACGTCTGTTATGTTATGTTATGTTGTGTTACATTATGTTATGCTATGTTATGTTATGTTATGTTATGTTATGTTATGTTATGTTATGTTATGTTATGTTATGTTATTGTTACGTTATATTCTAGAAATGAATAACAACGCACCTAACACGTCTTGGGTAAACCTCTGGGTCGAATAAGAACACATAAACCCCGACTGACCCCAGCACTATGTTGACGAGTACTGACTTGAATCTGAGCACGAAAGAAAATGGTTTAGGAAATAATTACCTACTGCTGCTACTACTAGTACTAGTGATACTACTGCTACTACTTCTACTACCACTACTTCTACCACTACTGCTACTATATATAGCTACTACTACTAATACTATTACTACTACTGCTACTACTAGTACTAGTAATATTACTGCTACTACTACTACCACTACTGCTACTATATATAGCTACTACTACTACTACTACTGCTACTACTAGTATTAGTAATATTACTGCTACTACTACTACCACTACTGCTACCACTTCTGCTACTATATATAGCTGCTACTACTACTACTGCTACTACTACTAACTACTACTACTACTACTACTACTACTACTACTACTACTGCTACTGCTACTGCTACTACTACTACAAACGTAGCGTAAGACTCGTGGCTCACTCATGGTCAGTCAGCGCCCGTTTCTGTGGTCCCAGGAGTCTGTATTGTGTTGACAGGCGGCTCAGGATTTTGGGCGCTGCGGCGAAAAGACCCATGGACACGGCGAAACTGGCTAACACGGCCAGACATATGGACACAGTCTCGTCCATTGTTATTCCTATATTATTAGGGACAAACATAACAAAAATAAGAAAGAAGGCATTGAAATCCTTTTGTATGCGTTGTAAATTTGATGCACAATGTGTTTTTGCAGTCTTGGTAACTGCTGTAACGTTTTATCTGATATTTCAATGCATGGATGGCCGAAACACTTCCGGTATTACATATACGCTGCATACATTTTGTATGTCTACCACAGGAAAGTAAATACTGTTTGTTAACATTATACATTTAGCTGATACTACATAGAAACATTTCAGATGGCAGAACCTTGACTAACGTACAGACAAACACCAGACAAAGAGCAGCGAAAAAAAACGCCTACCTTTTCCTGCTGTGCCGAGGTAACAAAATGGTGAGTTTTGTGTAACCCGTTGAACAACTTTTTTTCTCGAGGTCAGACTACTTATCTTTTACTGGGTCAATTGAGCCCCACTAGTATTCTACTAGGTTGGCTCGTTTTGAATAAGAGGTCTGTGAGAAGTTAAGCTTAGACTATCAGTCTGATCTAACCTAACGCAGCTTGTACTAATTGTGTAATGGTGTTATGCCCTAGAGGTGATTCCTATGTGCCACAAAATAAGTCAAAATCGTCAACACGTAGTCAATAACTAAATCCAGCACGTTGGTTTTAAAACAGTAGAAATTGGCCAAATAGTTATGCTGGTATACGAATCAGATATTTTTGTCGGTCGTATAATTACATTTCATAACCTACAAAAATTCTAATTCAAGATCCAGCTCATGTATTTCCCAGTTAATTTGACCAATGTTTATTATTTTTACAGCAAGACGTTGGGGACTTATGGGACTTATAATTAAGACAATAACAATTCGATCACCTGAGTGTTTTGGCCACTGCTACATACAAAGTCCTCTGGGGACAAAGTACATGGTCACATGATTGAAAACACCCCTGTAGTGCAGGCCGACTCTTTTAATATTTGCATGCGGGACTCTGATTTCTCAAAGATCACTCTTAGTTCGGGGTCACGCTTGAAATGTCGTGTTCACACAGTACTTCCATTTCTTTTTTTTAATTTTTTTATTCCAACATGTAATCACCGGACGTGGTGACGACAAGTTTCTTCAACTTCTATTAATGCCGCCATTAACACAGGGGACAAATACATTACAGGACAATACTTATTTACACCTGAGCTAAGAGGGAAAAGCTGTGTAAAGTGCCTTTCACAAGGGCACAAGATTGGTGGCATGTCAGGACTCGAACGCGGGACTCTTAGTTCCGAGTCGCGCACTCTGCCGCTACACCACACGAACCCACAAATATTTGCATGCGGGACTCTAATTTCTCTCAAAGAGCACTCTTTGTTTAGTTTGGGGTCACGCTTAAAATACCGTGTTCACACAGTACTGCCATTTCTAACTCATAAATTTGCACACGTTGATACATTAAGAAACATCTATATTATAGTAGACTGTTTTCTTATTCTTGGGACCAATTCATAGTACTACGAACTTTCTAAGACACTGCAGATCCGTCTAGTGAAAAATGCTTACCACATGCAAGTTTCTCAAAATTGGAATATAGCTGGGAATTTTACATGTTGATTCAATATGAATCATCTATAGTGCATTATAGTAGACTGATTTCTTTTTCTTGGGCACAATTTAAAGCAGCAGCGTCAGCACTAGAGGAATGGCGTATATTTGAAATATCGACACAATCTACCAGTACAAGCGTCAAAAGGCTCATTCCCTGTTGACGACAATTTTACAACCGTTTCGCATTGCCCTTATAAAGGTGCCATAAAGCATGCATGGCCCTCATAATGGGAAATATATGCCTTGTATCAGCCTTATTATCACCGATACTACAGATCATTGCTGCAAATGCCCTTTTTTATTTGGCCTGGTTAATAGAATCATCTCCATTCGTGCTGTGAGGGGGTCATCCCATATAATTCGTCACTCGTGATGCTGTCAGCTCTTTTTTGTAAATATATTCTGTCATTATTCGTTGTCACAAGTACATAATACCGTGTATTATACATGTACTTGATATACCACAAAAACGAAATGCCTGGCCGGATATACTGAATTCCTGCACTGCATGCACGAAATCAACAGTTTTTAACGGTTTATGAACGAGGGGAATCATCATCAAATTTACAGGGAAATGGCTTGACGATTTTGTTAGAAAACAAATCGTCACAGGGACAACATATTTAGCAAAATAATGTGATGTTTGTGTTGTAGTGCTTACAAAATATTATTTGTATCATTTTCATTTGGCGCACACCTAGCCACACGTCGTGGCATTTTCATGTGACATTTTCCACTCTGACATCTTGCTACATCAGAACGGAAATAGATACAATTGAGGTCCGTGTCGATGATAATGTCAGCCTTTACCTTGGGTACCTGGACACCGTGGCACCACATCGGTGATTAGTAGATGATTGATCCAACTCAGCGTGCATGGATGTACCATAAAAGAGATGTCTTCTCGTTTGTTAAAACAATTGGGTTCATTCGAAGCCAAATATATCTATAAGGTAACGTTGGCCACGTAGTCCTTTTGTCAGGCCGTAGGGGCAACCCGTCTTCTGGTACACATTTTTCACCTGGGTGGAGTTTGAAAAGTCATATAGCATGCCTTTCCATAGTACACGACGTATTTAGAATATAGTGGACATGGAACAAATACCTTACGACATTCAAGAACGGAATCAGTTTAGCCAGAAATACATTCATTTTATTCATTAATATGATGCATCGCTATGTATGTTACTGGGGTAAGTAAGCTATGGGAATGCAAAAATCTCTACATTTTGACCAAAAAATACACGAATGATTACAATATTATCAAATGATCATGAGCGTGTACGTCAATACGATAGCAGTCACCTAGAACCATAATCCACCTACCAATAATGAAACACAATAAATATTTATCGATGGATGTGATCATTCTGCGTATACATTCACTAGATACGGATAGTCCATAATATTGATACTGAAATGCTAATTCAGTATTATTACTTTTTGTAATACACTAGTACCGTGTTTACTGGATTGTTATAGTCTTTTTATTTCAATTTCCTATTACAAACAAGAATTCGAACCACTGAAATCGGTTTCGTTAAAGCCTTGTTGTATTCACTTTATCGATGATTTTTCCAATGAATTTTACATCTAGCTCCCTTAAGGCAATATATATTCTTATACCAGACATTCAAAGACCTTTCTGGGACCTTTGGCCTATCTGACAGCTGTTCTCTAGTCATTTCTAGCATTTGGAAATAACTAGCAACAAAATGCTACTAAAACAGAAGAAACCACACGGACCAAAATAAAAAAAAAATCCGTTCACGGTTGTTTAAAGAAAACTACTAATGTAGTAATTCTGACTGATGATGGAAAGTGAGCGTCACTGTTGTCTCGTTGCCGTTGGTCTGATGTGACGTCAGATGACGTCATTACCGGATATGACGTCTGATGACGTGGATTATCTTCTGCGTCCGGCCCGCGATTGCAGACTCATCAGACAAACCTAATAACAATAAAAATGATAATGATAATAATAATACTCTTGAGATATGAGGACGCTTACTAATACTATTTATATTGGTCAATGTATCACCAATGTACCAACACAGATGAGCGTTCAAAATAAGACTAACTACATGTCAATAATGCAGACGGCACACTAAAATTTAAAGAAAACGTTAAAAAAACATACGTGCATTTTTTAATACTGTATTCACTTCATGTTCATGGTCTGAGAAAAATGGACATATTCATGGTTCTATATATTCACAGTGGCAACAGGTGCAGGAAAAAGAAAGTCCAGATATTATTTTAACTGTAATAATAAAGTTCACGGTACAGAAGCGACAGTGAAAACAGTGAACATAACAGAACCGTGAACAAATAAAATCAGGAATTACAGTACGCTTATACTTAAAAAACAATTTTTGTACATGACGTATTATAATTTGTACCTCCCACTCCTTAAAGGCCTTCCCGGACAGAAACATCTCGTCTCCGGTCTCCTTGGACTTCGTGCACTGCTGCCGGCAATTCTGAAACAAAGCGTCCCGATAAGTCTGTGAATAGCCATGTTAACAGTCCTTAAGTAGAAAGTTGGCTGAATGTCACGGGAATGCTAGATAATGGTTCCCTAAGGCTTTCCTAGACAGAGACATCTCGAGGCTGTGTTAGGCTGTGTATCACGAATGTCTATGTTAAAAGCCGTTTAGACCAATTTTAGTTTTTCATGAACAATGAAAGCTCAAACAAGCACCATTTTTTGCGTGTTCGTGTAATTTTTAAGTTAAGTACGTCTTTGTATGTCTGGTGAGTTCTTAATTCCGTAAGACCTTTAAAGATGAGCAAAAAGTAATTCCCTATAGCTGGTATTCGGCCCACTGACGACTTCATGTAGTCAATCAGTCTGTCATTAAAACATGATCACTCATCCACACAAAGTTGGGTCGCGGGGCAATCTTCCTAATTATGTCTAAGTCTTTAACCTTTTAAAACAACCACTCAAATCGACCAAGTTCCTCATAACATAAGCCTTACGCCAGCTCCAATACCCAAGCTAATTTGACGTGCGGAAAACAGAAAGGAGAGCCAAGTGGTCTGTGAAATATGAAAGTCCTGTCAGTGGTGAACTCGACTGTCTCGGGGGAGATCAATACAGGAGGAAACTTAACTGTAGTTGACAGACCTGAGCGTGGGAACCCTGCAAAGTTTGAACTTGTGGACGTAGAAGGCAAAATCCTTGAACCGCCTTGGTGGACGTCTACTTCAATGCCTTTACAATGTGTGAGAACGAAAACAAAAACTTTATATCGATCTAAATCAGTGCACGACGAGAGGACCAATGCATTAGCTTAGAATGTACAATGTATTGCCCGTCAAAACAAGGCCCTCCCGCCAGAACCTCATTCTATGATATCAGGTTACAATTCTTCCCGCGCGCGGGAATCTTGGATCACTACTGGGAACTGCGAGCTGCATGCAAACAATCATAAGCACAAAATCTGTGACTGTAAATACCTATTTTAGTTATTGACTGATATAAGTGGTCATCTAGAATAAATATTTCTTCTCATAGAAGAGGGTTCCAGCCAGACTTTAGTTTTAAATCCGTGCAGTAAGAGTGAATCAGTCAGAACACTTGTTTACGATTAGGAGAATCTTCCCGCCATAATAAGGGGATCCTAACACCTACCTTGGTATACATATCGGGTTACAGGACTTCCCGCGCGCGGGAATCTGAGCTTACCCTTAGCGACTACGAGCTTCAAACAAATACAAACATTAAATCTGTGACAGTGAATAGGCATTATATTTACGTTCTAACATTAGTACGGACAACCGACTATGACATTTTACTCCGAAACTTCAGAATCAAATCAGGACAGGTCATAAAACCATCCCACCACACCTTTCGAAAAAGAGTAGGGGCATGCCCCGGTGTGCGATGGTACAAACACTACTGTATGGAGTTGGTGATTCACTTCAAATCACCCGGACAGAGGCCTGGCGACCTCCGTCTTGTATAAGCCACACGGGTGATTAACATCATTCACCCGGACGGAGGCCTGGCGAACCCCGTCTGTATCAGCCAAAATCTTGGAGAGGAGATAGGCGCCACCAAGATTATAAGCCTACTGAAACATCATGGCGCAAGTCCAGACATGCTGCTGGCTGCCATGGTGCCCCTACGACCGTTCACGGATATGGGTCTACGTATACATACATACATAAAACCAATCAGCGTACTGACATTACATGATAAGTATATTATATACTTATCGCCTGAGGCCATAAGAAAGCGTTGCCATCACCTACCTTTGTACTGAAAGTATTGACGTTACAGGTTGTTCCCGCGTGTGAGAAGCTGAGGTGATCTTTATACAGATTTTAACCACTACAACCATTGGCAACTACAAACTTTAAACAATAAGTATAGACACTTAATATGTGACAGTAGATATCTTCCGCATTTACATTATTATTTCTTCACGACATTTAGAATAAACTTTTCATTAAAACAAGATAGAATGCAGCCAGACTTCTGTATTGGGAGCTATAACCAATCAGAATGCAGATTTTGGAAGATTGACAGATCAGTCCCCGCCATAAGGATGGAAAAAAGAATGCACCAATCAGCATACGTCTTGTGGTTGATTGACAGTTCAGTTCCCGCCATAAGAATGGCAAAAAGAATGCACCAATCAGCACACGTCTTGTGGATGATTGACAACTCGATTCCCGCCATAACAATGGAAGAAAGACTGCACCAATCAGCATACGTCTTGTGGATGATTGACAGATCATTTCCCGCCTTACAAATCAAACAGACCCCGTCGGTATAAATGAAGACAGACTTCTAGAAACACCATCAAACTTCTAGAGGAATTTTGCAAAAGATTTGCAGCTAGTAGTGAGTTCTACGTGTTTGGAGTTTTATTTCCAAGTCTGTGGTAAGGTGCGTATATTTGTGTTACATTAAAATGGACTACTTTTTCCTAAACTTAACGCTTTTCGCATTATTATTTTGTGCTATGTACTGATTCGTGCGTTCCAATGGCCAGCCCAAGGTGAGTAGGTGACAAACGGACTGAAGTCTATCTCTGCTAAAATGATGCGTTGCTTCCAGCTATGCCCAGAGAGACACTATGGAAGTCTCTTTTTTACCTCCATGATATGATCCAGAAAACGTAAGGCGTGTGGGTGTATGGCGTAGGTGTATGGTGTAAAATTGCAAAAAAAAAAGCTTACTTCTACTTCTGTATTACCCGTATTACGAAGAAACTGATAGCGATAGATATACCACAGTTGACGTCAGGTTTAAAGTCGTTGCCCTAGATATTGGTTACACCATGGCTTTGGTTGGCTTGATTCCTCGGCAATATGTTTATACAATGATAAAGAAAATGAAGTAATTTGAGCCCAGTGGTTTTACTGTATCCCAGATATGACTGGTTACGCCTAGAGGCTGGATGACCGGGGAAAGAAAGTTGACCCTTTAGATAGGATGTTGGCCACAGGGCAAAAAGAAGAGGCCAGGGGATAAAATGTTGCTTAGGGAGTAGAAACTGGTTACTGTGTTTTATGCGGTTTTAAAGCCAAGTTTTTGACCAGTTGCCTGGGGTGTTCTGCGAAACCTTACGCTGATAAACAGGCAAAATTTAGATTATGTAACGGCCAAAATAAATGCGATTTTAAGGCCAAGTTTTCGACCAGTTGCCGAAAGGGTGTTCTGCGAAACGTAAATGCTGATAAACTGGCCAAAACTGTTATGATGTAACGGCCAAAATCAATCGCCTTCTGCCAAGTGAATACACTTTGGAGACTGTGTGTGAAAAAAAAAAGGACTAGTAGTAGGTAAAAGGTAAAACACGCATGACGATGTTTTACGTACTAGAAATGCTTTTTTCAAATACATTTCATGGATTTCTTTGATTCATCCAGTTTTCCCGTTCGCACGAACAGTTAGGAAATGAGACCATATTAAAATTTATTGAAATTGCGACAGTGTATTGCACCTGGGACACACATAGAAACAAATACAGGGCAGGACAATACTCATTTTCACTTGGAAATTGCTGTTGAAAAACAATATGGCGTTAGTCGTATACGCAATCCACATTCTTCAAAGTGGAAAGTCGATAGCCAGCAGTCCTTTTGAAATGTGTTTGATACTCTTGGACGTACTTGAAGAAAACTTTACCTAGAAGATAGTTGAAGCCAAGTATGTTGCAGCTTCCACATGCTGTATGGAATCAATATGTACGGTCGATGTTCAGGAGAACTTGCACTTCTTGTTCCGCCGCTCAGAACCTTTTAGCGTGCCACTAGGTTCTCTTCCAGTTCTCATCAATACACCGTCAACATGCCTGTCTCCAAGTCATTTTACACCAACAGCTTCTTTCCCCGGACCTCCAAATTATGGAACTCTCTTCCAAACTGTTGCTTTCCGTCTGATTACAATCCACAAAGCTTCAAAACAAAGGTCCACCGCCATCTCCTGACATAACTACAATATACTCACTTAAGTACCTCTAGCTCTATGCCTAGAAGTGGCCAAAAATAATTGGCCTTGCATTGAGCAATCAAGTCGAATATTTACGTTGATCTTGACGTCCATAGTGAACTCCATGCCCCTGAATAAGTTTTTTTTTTTTTGGTAAATAATTGCGTTGGTAGTGGCTGGAGGCGAAAGTTGACGTGGGCCCGGCTTTCAACTGCCGGTAGAGATTTCTCAAGAACTAGATAAAAGCCAGTAACAAGCCCCCTGTCCGGTTGTCTTGTGCTCTAATTGCTGCCAGTATCGCTACTCGTCAATGAGTCTTCAAGAATTGTTTTGACTTTATCTTCTAGAATAAAAGTATGGCAATGACCTTGCGAACTTTGATTTTCTTGGATAAGAATAAGACAGATGGGGGGAGTTGGAGTGGCTCACAAAGGTCAAGGTGGTTTACACAATACACAGGGTAGTTCATTATTTTCAAGGAAATCTCTTATCTTTGTTAATCTCTTTTTTTTTAATTATGGACATTGACATCTATGTATATACTAAGAAATGCCAATGAAACAGAAAGTAAATGTTTTGACTGTACATGTCTAGTGGACCTTTTAAAGAATGGTCTTTGCAGCTTAAACATTATGTGTTTTTATCAAAGTTTGTATGTTTCTGGCAACGAAAAACTCGGCGAAGTTTGCATCTTAGGCGAATTGTGTTATTTTAACAATAGAAGAAATATTTGTAAATGCTAGGTTACTATCATAATTGATTTTTAAAAATTTTGATGTTATAATTTTTCTTCCTTTTTTACGCTCGCCCTACTAACTTGAATAAAAAAAGTCACCTGTGCATTGATCTAAGTTTCTCCTGGTTTTGACGTAGCTACAAGTGAAACTTGGATTACTAAGTTCTCAGTGCGCGCGCAAGTTCTTAAGAACCCAGAAAAACGCAATCAAACAGATCGTCTTAAAATATCTGTATCTGCATTTTTACCCTCTCTCTAGCAAATGGAAAAAAAAGTTGACTGTGCATTATATTGATCTAAGTTTCTGCTGGTTTTAACGTAGCTAGAAGTAAAACTTAAGCACGTACGTATTACTAAGTTCTCAGTGTACGCACGTAAGTTCTTAGCGTCCACATAAGTTCCTAAGAAGCTGGGAAAACTCAATCAAACCGAGCCTCTTACCGTCGAGCTGAAGGGCTTGGGCCAAGTGAAGAGCAATTTGCACTGGTTACACTTGATGTAGCAATCCAGCCGGTCCTCTTTGGAGAGCTTGTTCAGACCTGCTTCAGTCTCCAACATCGCCGTGAGAAGCACCAAGACGCCCACGAGCCAGACCGGCGAACTCATCTGTAAGAATCAATCAAATTCTAGTCAGGCTTATTTCTGAATATTCCTGAAGTTCCTGTGGGTGATTTTAGAGTAAGATACAAGATATATAAGCCGAAAAAACTAAGCCAGGAGGTACATCATGGTTTACCCTTCGTTAGAATTTTATTACAACAATCTCCGCAATGGTTGATCTTCCGTAAATGATTTCCTTACGTTTTATCGAAGGCACAACAAATTTAAAGGGTAAACCGTGATGTTTTAATTCTTCCGGCTTAGTTTTCTTTTTTCGATGCAGCCGGTTCTCTTTGGAGAGCTTGTTCAGACCTGCTTCAGTCTCCAACATCGCTGCTAGAAGCACCAAGACGCCCACGAGCCAGACCGGCGAACTCATCTGTAAGAATCAATTTCAATGCATCAAATTCCAGGCAGTTTTTAAGGGGATATTCTTCAAGTTCTTGTGGGTGATTTTAGGATACAAGATATACAAGCCGAGAAAACTAAGCCAGGAGGTACACCATGGTTTACCCTTCGTTAGAATTTTATTACAACAATCTACGCAATGGTTGACCTTCCGCAAATGATTTCCTTGTTTTATCGAAGGCACAAAAAAAAGTAAAGGGTAAACCGTGGTGTTTTTATTCTTCCGGCTTAGTTTTCTTTTTTCGATCCAGCCGGTCCTCTTTAGAGAGCTTGTTCAGACCTGCTTCAGTCTCCAGCATCGCCGTGAGAAGCACCAAGACGCCCACGAGCCAGACCGGGGAACTCATCTGTAACAATCAATTTCAATCCATCAAATTCCAGGCAGTTTTTAAGGGGATATTCTTCCTACAACTTACAAGGGCTGATTTTAGAGTAAAGTACAAAATATATGAAAGAAATCGAAGCCGGGAGGAGCAAAAACATCATGGTTTACCCTTGGCTAGAATTTTATTGTCTTGACAGAATGTGGTGATGATAGAATGTACTGAATATTTCTTGTAGTTTACGTACTAACTTCCCACATGTGGTTAACCTATTTTACACACAACAAACTTTAAGGCTCTAACTTAGAATAGTAGTAAAGTTTGTTTGTGAGTCTCCAGCATCGCCGTGAGAAGCACCAAGACGCCCACGAGCCAGACCGGCGAACTCATCTGTAAGAATCAATCAAATTGTAGTCAGGCTTATTTCTGAATATTCTGCAAGTTCCTGTAGGTGATTTTTTGCCTTTTATAAAACGTAGAAAAATTATTTTTAGTTTACTTCCTAACCAAACGTGGTTAAACCTTTCAGCTCATCTGTAAGAATCAATCATGTAAGGATGGAATACATCAAATTCTAGTCAGGCTTACTTTTGAATATTCTTCAAGTTCCTAGGGGTGATGTTAAAGTAGGGTACATCACGGTTTACCTTCTAATGTTATTGCCTTTGGTAGAATGTGATGATGATAGAATGTACTAAATATTTTTTATTTTATTTTCGTTTACGTACTAGTACACCTGGATTTTCTGGTACACACAAAATCCTAACATGTTTCGAATAAAAACGCAATCATTTGTAGCCCACATACGCCTTAACCTTCGCCAGACTTGTATTATTAACCACCACAATTAATTTTCATTTCTTGGAAAAGACTGCAGTTTAACAGTAAATATAGTCGAATGGCTCTGACAGTTCACAACTTCACAACAAGAACGCTTCACAACAGAACTTTGGAGCTAATTCCCACACTAGCTGCCCTTTAGTACACCTTTACCAAGCTTTACCCTTCGCTAGACTTTTATTATTGACCCCACAATTAATTCTCATATCTTGGAAAATACAGGGGTTGAACAATAAAAATTCGAGTTCAATGTTTTAAATAAAAATTATAGTTCTCGACTTCTACCAAGAACGTAGATGTATTTTCTAGCTATCTACTACACTAGTTGACCTTTGTGTTTTGTGTTGGAAATCACAGTACACAGCTTCACAACAGAGCTAATTCCCACACTAGTTGCCCTTTAGCAAACTGCTAAGCGGGTAGTCAGAAGGAAGTAAAACCCGCCAGACGGGCAGCTCTGCTGAGCGGTGTGGGCGATCCCGGCGGGAAGGCATCAGTTATGATATCGATTTCACTCGAAACTTCTTATGGCAATTCCAGGAATCAGGAAATAGCTTTGTGCAACTGCTCGGACGGACGGCAAAACATGTGAGGGAACACGAGAAGAATACAGACAGGTCGAGAAAATTCCTGGAATGAAAACTTTGAAGAGTACTCGAAACGAATACAGGAATACTTTCAACAAATTTCCGGGAATAAAAAGAAGCCAACTGAATATATGGCAAATCGTGCAATAGTTCATGGAAGAATACAGAAAGTTCTAGGACGTTCTAGAGAATTCCAGAAATAGACAATTTGACAGTTTAGAAGAGTACTCGAAACGAACACAAAAAGACATTCAACAGATTCACTAGAAACTTCTTATGGCGATTCCAGGAATTTAGGAAATAGCTTTGTGCAGCTTTGAGAACACGAGAAGAATACGGGAAGTACCAGGACGTTTGAGAAAATTCCCAAAATAGAAAATTTGACAATGTTAAAAAATATACCCGGAGTCCCCGGAACGAACACAAAAAGACATTCTAAAAATTTCCAGGAATAAAAAAAGCCAGCAGAGCTAAATTTACGGGAAAAAATGTACATTAAAGTACATTAAAAGAACGAAGATAGTTTCAGGACATTCGAGAAAATTCCTGGAATAGAAGAAAAAAAACTTTTGTGCAACTGCTCGTGTGAAAAAATGCAAGAGTACTCGGAACGATCACAGAAATACTTTTAACAAATATCCTGGAGTAAAAAAAAACAGTTCAAATAAATATACGGCAAGACATAGAGCAAAGAACACAAAAAGTTACTGGACATTTAGGAAAATTCGAGGACCAAACAACTACTTCATGCAACTGGACCATACATGCAACAAAGCTTAGCCGGATCTTAACAGAATATATGCAATTACGTGTTATTGATATTTGGATAACGTTACCTATTTAATTTCATGCTTCTTCACATGAACTCAGGTATCGTATTACCAATAGAAACTCAATTTTACACGATTTTTCACGCCACAAATATTATTAAACATCAATAGTAACTTCGTCCACAATAATTATTATGCACATGTCATGCAAGATCGTTTCAACATAACCACAGGTTAATGACCCTATCGTGATATTTTTCTAACCATCATCTATTAATACTTTTCAAGGAATGAACTCTGCAATGATACTATCAATCACTATATAGTCAATTGCAATCAAAGAAAGAGACGTTGGAGTAAGAATGTGATTCTTTTTAATGGCCCTAAGGGTGCTTAGTAGATAAATGTAAGTCCCTAAACACCCATGTAATACACGATAAGTACCGTTCTAGCTTATCTCAATTCAACACTGAGTCCCTAGGGCGTGTGAATGTGTCAATAACAGAATCCAAATCTAAAAGGGAAAATCCAGTTTAACTCCTTTTTTTTCGTTTTGACTTTTAAAATTCGAAAACCGTCCCTCGCCACCGACGATTTTCACTAAACGTGTCCCCCACGGGGCATCGAAAAGTCTCACCACCAACAGTTTGCGATTTAAACCTCATCATTTAAAGCCAACCTCGTCACCAAAAGTGTAACTTAATGCCTCGCTAACGACAAGAAAAAGTTACATAATACACTACCAGTAATCAGTCGAACATGACAGTCATAAAAGCCCCCTCGTCACCAAAAGTGTGATTGAATGCCTCGCTAACGACAAGAAAAAGTGACATAATACAATTCCAGCGATCAGTCAGAACATGGCATTCATTAAAAGCCCCCTCGTCACCAAAAGTGTGATTGAATGCTTTGTTAACGACAAGACAAAGTTACACAATACTATAATCAGTCAAAACGTGACAGTTAGACAGAAGTTTTGAGTGATGTACTGAAGTTGAAATCTTATATATTCTACTGGAATCAATGTAGTTTTTTTGGCGCAGTAGGCAGTTCTTTGTGTTCTTGATAACACACTGCCAGCTAGGCACACTATTTCAAAATGGAGTTTGTAGAAAGATTAAAAATAAAAAAAAGTTTCAATATTGATTAGCTGTCTCTTAAAACCATTATAAAATTGTGTACCTCTATTTAATTTCCGGCAAAGGTGAAGTACGTTGCACAGTCATTTCACATCTGAATCCAGTATGAATTGTTCTGTCATGGTGGCAATGCTTTGATTGATGATCCACTCGGGTCAGTATTGCTGTCGAACTTTTCCCTATCGAGTTCGTCGATACTATTTTTTCAAACATTTGTTCGAAGGATTTAAACTTGTGATGGAAAGCGTTAGATCATCTGTCATAAGAATTTGCCTTATGTGTGAATAAATTAAATAACATGGCAGGGTTTAGGGGTACATATCCTGAATATATATATATGTATATTTAAAAAAAAAACATGACTAGAAGAGAGGAGCTCTCGAAGAGAGGGAGTGGACTATGTCTTGGCACAACAAGGCTTCAAATGATTATGGTGATGATTAACTGATTGCTAGCAATGTTAAATGCCTTTAAGATAGTTATAATGTTTATCTTCTCTTGAAGAGACTCAAAGCACATTTTTAGGGAGCTAGTGTGTCGCACAACCAGTAATTTCCTGAATACGGTATATGTTTAGGGATGGTGTCGAAAAAAAACTCATGAGGATGAGGAGTGCAGGAACCTTCATATTTTTCAATTCCAAGAAATGTATCATGTACAAAGAAGGAAAATAAGAATAAGGTAGGAGATCAACAACTTTGAGGCATCACCAAAGTTCAGGGTGTTCTGGCATCACGTAACTCAAAGTAAATTACAGTAAGCTCTCCAGCACTGATTTAGCGGAAGTGATCTGAGTCATTTCTTATTGCCATGGCAACAGAGTACTCCCATGTACCGGCTAAGTTCCCCCATTTCACACCGAAGTGGTTGTTTACAGCTTACCGCACGGACAGATGAGTACCTCTGCTCATGGACAATATGGACCTCGTTTTTCTTTAC